TTGGCTTCTGTAGGCCCTTGTAATGTTGCAAAGCTGTTTCGTGACTTAAGAATGAGCAATGGTGTCGATAGTATGTGGCGCTATAAGCGTTTGAAGTTTACATAGACATCTGTAATGAATGTTGCGAGTTGTTTCACAGCCACTTCCAAGTTATATGACCTACGTCCCTGCCATAGTATGTCGTTGTGCTGTTGTGCTGTGCTGGTGACTAATGGGATGTGTCTAATGTCTGATCATGCGCCGTGTGTTCACAGTGGCCGGAAGTCTGCACCGGAAACAGAGCAGCGGACGCCGAATACTTCGGTGACCGGGATCTACCATCGCGGGAACTCCTCCATGTCCCCTATCACCATCAGTCCTATCACTCAGAACGGTGGGAGCGGGCAATACGAGGTCTCAACCGACACAGGACGGCTTGTACGAGCTTCGTACGCCGCTGCATCCGACGGGCTGAGGCTAGGTCAGGTGAATACAAGAGTGTGGTTTAACTCAGCCTAGACCCACGACGGGCCGTCGGGCCAGAAGTTCATCGATTGGTGTGTGGTACTCAGACAAATCTACCCGAAACTAGCTCCATATTTGTTACCAAGTGCAATGGTTGGTAGTGCGCTTTGCGCTATGAATTGATCTGAATTCGAACTGGATAGATCTTACTCGTCGTTTTACAGATGCATGCCTCAGATGTGCACAGATATTGTCTTGAGTTACTTTTATTACCATGTGTTTTTTTTTTGCGTACCGAAATGTATGCGCGCACCCAAGGTGCACCCAAGGGACCAATTTTTCACAAATCTATCTGAGATCATAGTGTGACATGCTTCATATCGTACTTAACAAGTTTTCTATGTTGTTTCGTGTGTTTGCCGTGTGTGCCATATTGTAGAGTGATGTGTTTTTACTGCGTTTTATGCCAGTTGTGCCGACTCAAAGTCGTCAGTATCTTAAGTGCTTCAGCGCATAAGCTGGAAATCATCCGGTCGACGCAGGTCGTCACGTTTTGTTGTAGGTAACGTGTACCATATACGTCATAAGGGACCAAACTAAGAAACCATGGGACGTGCTTTCAATGTCCCTAGTCGCCCAAGGCGAGCGAGTCTTTCCGCGAGTGTAACAAACTTTCTCCCGTATCGATGCAGTCGAGCGGAGAGCGAATCTCAGCCGAAATCACAACGTTTTTAACTGCAGATATCTTTATCTGCCACACATTTCGCCTGGAGGAAGTTAAATGTTGCGTAAGTCGTGTCTTTTCGAGGTGCTCGCGTGTGTCTGTGCGTTTTTATCTAGATGTGAGACCCGTTACAAAATATGTGCCATATTTGCCTGTCATGCTGCGTGGGTTAGCTCATCCAAAAGACGTGTCGTTGGATACATTTGTCAGCGTTTTCTGTCGAAACTTGTTCACTGATTTTGTGCACAGCATTCGTTCAATACGTGACTCAACAATACACCAGTTTCGAAGTAGAAAATGCGATATGAATGTTTGTGATATTCGAGCGTAATTATATCGTTTTGTATTTTTTTAGACGGGAATTCACAAATATTGACTTGATAATTCACTTCGGACATCTTGCATTTAAATCGCTTATCAACTTTGATGCGAGTTTTCCTGTGCGATGAGACATAATGATCTTTATTCAAAGTCGGGAAGGTAATCCCGAATGGCCAGTATGTTATGTGGAGCACGGAACGCGGTATTTGCACCTCCAGTGACCCCGTCTGGGTCATCTCACCCCGCCACCGACAGGGACGCATCCAGGCACCCCTCCCGGGGGTGCAAAGGATAGCATGACAGTCCGTTATTAATCGACAGCACCACAATGAAATTGGGGTGACAGTCTGTTTTTTCCCTGTGTGGGCTGGAAGCAGTTTGTTTGCCGCATGGTTCGAGGTCGCTTGTTACAAAAAGCGCGTTACCCTCCGTCGTTGGCGTCCTGAGCTCGCCTCTGCCACCGCCCCGGGGCAGCGGTCGGGTCGGCGCCGGTCAGGTCACGGCCGCCTCGCGCAGTCCGCCGGCCGCCGCCGCACCGTGCCCGTGTCTCGCGTCCTCGCTCTACATTCAGCTGCGAGCTACAACTGGTGACCGGTGTTGCCGTTTCTACTAGAGGAGCTCCAACTAGTGCCCGCCAGACTACCAGTATTTCTCTGAAGCTTCAGTAGCCGTGCCCAGTGATGAGTTTAGTCGAGGCGATGACACTCCTGAGCGGTTCGCTAGGCGACACAGCTCGAATGATCGCGCACGACGGACCGGCGGCTACTGTAGCCACCTGTCTACTCCTCAAGGCCGGCTTCTTGGCGCTACATCTACTGGCTCTGCGTCTACCCGAGTGCTCCCTCCTGGAGCGCCTGGCCCTCCTGCACTGGTCTTTCGACGGCTGGAACGTCTGGTGTCTGGTCGTCTTCGCACGCACCGGCCGACTTCCCTGGAGTCTGGAGACCTGCGTGCTGTATCACGTCCTCGGCTACCTGGTTTACTCCGTGGTTTATCTACACCTTCAGAGCCGCGAGTGGACTGCTCGTCATGGAGAGCCGTACCCCATGGGCGAGACTCCAGACTCTGAGCTGACTGTTCGAGTCAGTGCTGATGACGAGGCAGAGGACGAGGTGGCTGCCACGTCGGATCCTTTCGGGTCACCGGATGGCGGCTGGGTGCTTTCCGAGGACGTGCCGGATGACGAACGAGAGGATACCATCACTCCAGCTACGGCTAAGACTGGAAGAGACGCCCTCTGTGCCATCCCAGAGAATGAACCTGGCACTGTGCCACCGAAAGAGGATTCCAAAGTAGAAGCGGACAAGAAACCCATGGAAAATGGAGAAAACGAAGTGAAGACGAACGGCGAGAGACCTACAAAGAGCGGCAGCGTGATCGAAAATGGAGGAGGAGAACCGGCGAAGAGCGGCAGCGGAGGACAATCTGAGGACTGCACCAGGGGATCCGTGGAGGACTCTTCCTCAGAGCCGGGCGGCGTTCAGCTGTCTCCCACCACCAACCGGCCGTACCGCAAGCTCGACGCTGCTGGCGAGCTCCTTCCCGGCTCACCAGTCTCCGACGCCCAATGTCGGGACATCACTGAAGATATAGCTGCCGCTCTGAAGGCCGGACGACGGGCGGATGGAGCGGAGCGAGATGCAGACGGCACCGGCTTCAACAAGTACAGTCCGGTGAAGACGGCACGCATCGGACCGGCCTCTGGAGGCGGGCGGGTGAGGTTTGGACTGCCGTGTGCTTCTGAGCAAGACGCGGAGGAAGGAGAGAATGATAAAGAAAAGGAAGGAGAGCGTAAGCGGGTCGGAAGCGATGGAGGCGAAGGCGGAGATAAGAAGATTGAAGCTGGGGCCAACGGAGATGAGAAAGATCACAACGGGATCAACGGAGATCAGAAGAGGATTAATGGAGATCATCATAATGGGGATCATCACGGTCATGATGGGGTCAACGGTGATCGTCACAGCCCCGGCAGCGACAACGGCGAGCGCTAGAAGCTGCAGAGAGGCTCTGAGCGGTGCCGTGTCTTGTTATCCCTAGTCTGACTGTTGTGGCGAGCCGCCGGTGTCTGCGTTTGCGAACTATGTGTGCTATAGAACGAACGAGCAATATTGTTGCGTTTGTTCCGTCAAACTGAAACTGTTAATTGCAAAATGTAATAAATTATGCACGAATCTCACTTAACTGTTTTTGCTCGGTACGGGTGTCAATTCTTCGGGCTTACATTGCGATCGATAACTTTCGGATTGACCGGAAAGCTCAATAATGGCGACGAAACACCATCAGTTTAGGAAGCAGCTGTAGAAAAACAACCGGTCCCAAAACAAGCTTAGATACGTAAGAAAAAAATGAACGAAGTATCTATCCAGACCCTCTCAACGTAGCACCCTCGGTCGTTGAGTATTTTATGATTGTTGCGTTATATGGTCTCTTCACACACGAAGACTGGACCGGGCAGGGTAGGGGAGAGCGGGGCCAGTTGAACCACTTTTTATATATTGATATGCACAGCGAGATCTAGTTGTCATATCGAAAAATGCACAATACCATGAAAAAATATACTCTTTTGGCTTTATTTTAAGATATGTAAAATTATGTTTCAAACATATTTTGCTGCCAAACGCACGCTTATAAAACAGCTCTACGCCCGTTTCAAATGACCCCGATGCGAGGGTCAATTGAACCAGCCCATGGGGTCAATTGCACCTATCCTTAACAATGGGATGTTTTCCTCTTTAAGGCCACTTTCTTAAGGAGATATTTTGTTCGGTTTACTTTTCCAAATGCTACATTCAATAGGTCGTTGGAAAGCTAAAAGTGCAAAGTTCCTCATAATAGGTGACATAAAGTACATAGACTATGGTAAAATGGGCGGATGAGGAAAATGAGAAATATCTCAGGCTAAGGCGTGCTTTCAAGCAAAAGGCTGGAGAAAAGGGGACAAAAATTGAGCTCTATTAAACTACTATTTCAGTTTAAAAGCTCATTTCAAAGGTGGACTATTTCCTTTAATGTTTACAGCCCCTGAACAATAACCATTGCAAAGGTCACCGGGGTCCATTGAAACGGCCTGTGGCCCTGTTTCAACTGACCCTCAGAGAAGCGTTTCAATTGACCCCATCCGCTCCCGCCATCTCGCACGCGCCGTAAAGCACATGTCAAACGAGCTGGAGGGACGGCATCATGCTGAATGAAGGGCCAAATTAGGTGTTATTCCGGAGCCAGGAGTTCTTCTTTCAGCAAACAAAGGTATATGAGATATCACAAAATATTCATAAAAACGATTTCTCCCAAACGCCCCTCAAAAACACAAAAACAAGTGTCAAATCAAAATTCCCGTCCGTTTGCCGCCCAAACGCCGTTGACAAAGGAAGTGGTCGAGCGCGGATGCGCAGTGGTGTCGGCAACGCCATATGTTGCATGCTGTTGAAAATAAAGCCATGTTTCATCTGACCCCGTGTTTCAACTGGCCCCGCTCTCCCCTATCCGTATCCGCGCAGCAGCAAACTTTGAGTCGGTACTTATTATCTACCTGTATTTGTTCAGCGTTCCCAGCAAACAGACAAATCCAAAACAACCAACTCGCTGTCCACTGAAGCAGGTACAGTTTTGTTCGTAAAAGTGCCGTATACGGAACCATTATAGCTGACATTTGACAATTATGCATCAGTAGCTGGTACGCCTCTGGCACAAGGCTGGATTCCCCAGAGTCAAACGGCTTTCATGTAAGAGAAACATACGGTAGACACATCATACCTCGCTTTAGTACAATTTTGACCAGCTGAATCAAAAGACTACCTAAACTAGTGGTCAGAAAAGATACATACAGCATATGACCGTCAACGCACTGGTTTACGCGAGCCTATGCCACACAATGCAATCGTAAATAAAGCATGGTTTAGTCACAACACATCCAGGTACCTAAGTCATCTATTATGGTTCATAAAGAGAACTAAATAAAGCCACGATATAAACAAAAGGAAAACAAAAGATCACATGTAAATATCTACTAGCCATGCGATGCAGATCATTCGTTAAATGTTCAAAGTCTCACTAAAGAGAATGCGCCATCGTTCGGACTCCGGAGTCATTACTACCAGAATCCTATTTACAACGCTGTCACATAGTCAGCACATGAGCCGAAGTTACAACAGGCAGCAGAATAACTCGCGTATTTACCGCTGCTCAGGCCAGGTCGATCTAATGTGTGGCAGGAAGCCATGAGACGTGATAGGGATGGGGGTGAAAGTTCGAACAACGAACAACCCTTCTATAGGAGAGGAAGGCACAGCAAAAGGTTGCTCAGGCCAGAATATAGCAGGGCGGGATGGAGCAGTGTAGGAAATATATGACAGGGTAGTGCAAGACGTGATGACAAGAGTGATGACAGTACCAGACCGACAATAAGAAAGGGAGGGACAGGATAGCATAAGTCGAGACACACACGGCTCTTGCCGTCGATACTTATAACAGTACCCTATAAGTAACAGTATCCTACGCAAAGTTTGGGGCAGGACTGATCCAACTCGCGGTACATTTAGTTTATAAAACTAGGCACGATGCTCGCTGGGTTTCATGTGGACGACACGCTCACATAAGATTCTGATTGAGATTCTTCGGATAATATATACCCATGTTAGATCACATTTCACAAGGCCACACACGGATTCCCGAAGTACAAACGTTAAAGCATTCACCTAACTGGCCACAGGCATTCTATAAAGACACATAAGCTTCGTGATTCCCACACGGGCCGTGAAATGCTACCCCGTTTACCCTTCTTTCCATCACACTACCGCTTCGCGGATTGACGCAGCTCGTCAATGTTTCGTCCCAGGCACGTCAAATATCATCATCCCTGCCTCCCCCACAAGCACACACGACAAACAAATATTCGGTGGTAGTCTATACCCCAATCATCACCCCTCCTTATCATCCACAGCTTGTTGGACGGAATCAGTCCATGTCTCCACAGCTGCCTCCACTGGCGCACTAACTCCCCTCATCGCCCTATCAGTACCTCCACTCCTAGCCGACATCCTTCGTAAACATCGTGCCGATACAGCCCGGGGAGGCTTGCTTCGCCCCGTCCAACCATCCCCCGTTAGACTCAAGTCGCTGGGTAGTCGCGAGTCTCCAGAGTTGAGTGTAAGGGAGCTGGGCAGGCCGGACCAGGCGGCTGGGTTTAGGGAGCCGCCGCCGGTGGTTAGGTAGAGCGTCTCGGCAGAGAGGGCGGTGAGGTCCTCGGTACTGGCGAGTGGGGCGGTGTCTGCAGCGCGGCTAGGTAGAGGGGGTGATATGGTACCGTTGTCGTTGTTACCGCCGCTGTGGGGGAGAGAGGAGAGGGGAGATGTCACATGCATTGTCGGAAGAAGGTAGATAACACAGACGCACTAGCGTCACTGGCAGATGGGGGATAACATTAGGGGAAATATAACTCGCAGCCAGTGTTGGTGAAGAAATGGCCTTGATGGGCGAAGGAATGTCGAACTTTAATATCCCAGTGCATCTTCGCCAAACGTGGAATTAGAGGTGCTTGGTACGTCCAATCATGCGATATTGCTAAACACGTTCAAAACTTCAAAATGTTCATAGAACAAAACATAATAAAGGAAAGAACCTGTGAAGCCTCTTCACTTATTCATCTTTTCCTTTGAGAGTCGTTCTGACAAGCAATGTCGTTCTCTTAGCTTAGCTTAGTCGTTCTCTTACCTGCCCCTAGGTGGCACGCTGAGCAGGCCGTATTATGGGCCGCGGTCCACTGTCCAGCATGGCGTCTGTATCATCCAGTCTGACGCCACGGGTCACAGGAGGTCAGGGAGGGCACACACGGTTAGAGGTCATGTCAGGTCACTCGGCGTCACACGGTTAGCGCGGACAGGGTAACGCTGTTAGGGATGCATGTCGCAAAATTCCGAGGGTTGGGGTCAACACGTCAAACCAGACAAAAAGCAGTAAAATTAGGTAGCTACGCGCAGGAAAGTCAGCAAATGCCGCCCTTGGGGCCTCATTATCTGATCAAATGACACACACAGAAAACTCACTCACAGATCTCTAAACTTTGTGACAGCTCCTTTTGGTAGTAAAACACAGCACAATGGGCACTTAAAAACCGATAACGAGTGGTTAGTTGATCCAATAAAACTCTACCATCCTCCTAAAAAGTGGCGTCATTTTCACACGGTAGTTAGTAAAGTCGCATTCAGCGGGCCTATTCTATCACGCACGCCAGCAGGAACAGCTTGGCAGATTTCGAGAGACAGCAGTCGGCATGAAGTCTCACCAAGGCTCTCTGACTGATGTTCTCACAGGGGAGAAGTATGTGCTAACTCACCCGGCGACCTCGTCCAGACTCTGAGACACCAGCCGGTCCTCCTCTTGTGAGAGCAGCTGGGAGGGACGGCTCGGGTAGCAGGTGGTGAGGTTACCCGCCTCCAGACACTGCCGGGAGGACAGAGAACAGTGTGAATTACAAAATTGGGGGGACATAGAGAAACACAGGTGGAGAGTCTGACTCTTCAGACACTTGGAAGAACAGAGAAGAATTACAACACTGGAGCGAGCACAAAGAAAAAAGGAAGAAAAACCCGAATCTAGACAGAGTCGAGAGAATAGGGCACTAACAAAGTTCTAACAAAGCACTAACTTACAAAGCATTCGACTCAGGTCGTCTGCATGCACTATGGAAAATGAGAAACTGGTCATTCGATCAGCAGGCAACCTCATGGCCCCATCTAATCTATTTCGATCAGAGGCTTTAGAAATACAGACAAAACAAATTACAATCAGGAGAACGATCCGTTCTCGTTTTAGCTGTTATAAAAAAATGAAATCTAATCGATGTTGTTTGTGATTTAATTGAACGAGTCGGTTCACTATTTTTGTTTCATTTTTTCACGTTCATCAACTTCATGAAGTGTACATCAATGCATCAAACCAAGCATCAGTCCATGGAAAATATCGCCTGACTGAGAGATGTATATCAAGGAATGCGTGCAGTTTCCATTCCGCGAAAATCAAGGACAGCATGCATCGACATGGCGGGATTGAGGTGATTTCCAGACCACACAGGTTAATTATGGAAAATTAACAAATTTATCGAGTTAAAAGAGAAAATTTCACAGTAAACTTTCGGAATGTCACGTAAATGCAATAAGTGAATCTAATGAAGCAGCTTGCCAATCGACATAAAATGACATGACATCAAAATCTACCTCGCTTCATAATGCCTTCATTGCCATCTTATATTTCTCCTTCAGCCATGCCTCATTTCTCCCAGCTACAGAGCTACAAGACACAAAGCCAACCCAAGCTGCGAATGAATCGGCGACTCCAACCAACTCCACATCAGCCATACACGGCGACTGTGGTAGCGGAGACATTATCGACGCTCTCTACGTTCTCGGCTACTCTGCCCGCGCTCTGCCCGACGGCAGGTTAGTTGCTCTCGATGGCGACGTGGCGCTCTCTCCAAAGGAAGTTCTCTCTCAAACTGAGCTATGTGGTGATCGGAGCAAGCTATGGAGAACGAAGAATGACCGACCGTTGCTAAGATATCGTCTGTATAGAGATAGCCACCGGCCATCGCGTCGCTATCGATCGCTTTGAGGGGTTGGATTGAACACACCTGTCTACAAGCTGTAAGGTTGCCTGATGGGGATTGTCGAGAGAAAAATAGCGACGAGGAGCCCACGCTTTGCGTGGGTAACGTCACTGGCTGTTGGTCATACGTGGGCCAAGCGACAACGGGGACACGACAACCCCTCTCACTAGAGGCAGGAAGATGCGGCTTAGCGGCTGCAACACACCACTTGGGCCACGTGCTAGGACTACAGAACCAGCATCAACGACCCGACCGTCACCAGGTGCTTCGACTGCGACACGAACACAGCCCATTACGTCGAGTGGGGGATGGAGGCCACCGGCAAACGAGACAATGCCGGGAGAGGAGACTTGCCGCATCGCCGCCACCGGCACCTTATGACTTTCTTTCTGTGATGCAGCTACGAGGAGCAGCGTTTGCTGATGAGGATCAGAGACCGGTGTTGGTAGCGAAAGACGGTCGAAACCAACATCTACTTGATTATCATGTACTAGCCGGTCTACGTCAGTCTCATATGGATTTGTATACAGTCAACAAGCTATACGGATGTCAGCTAAGGCAGCGGAAGACCTGCGCAGCTGTTGGTCGACCTACAATACGCTGTCGTAATTTTGGATATCTAACAGCTGATTGTCGATGCCGCTGTCCGCCTGAATATAGTGGGTCGATATGTGAGCATCGCAATAACGATGCTCCGTCCTTGCCTCATAGCACGCTGGTTGAAGTGAACATCCCTCAAACAGTGGAACTAAGCGACCGTGGCCTGAACGCAGACCCCGTACCAGGAGCACGTCTCGACTTTCAGTACGTCCAATTCGTCACAATCACTGCCATCGCGCCGTCTGATTCTGATAGAGTATCCGTCAGCATCCGCATCCATCCGTCCGCATTCCGCCCGCTAGCCGTCGATCCTCGCGGTGTTGCCTCACTGATTGCCAACCTCCCAAACGAGCACGAACTATTTCTTCTTCTATGGGATGGCAGTCAACACACCGGTCTACGAGCTGAATTTTTAGTTCTTTATGCAGAAACGAGTCGAGAGGTCCCGTGCTGAGGGGACGTTCGAGTCGTCTGGATTTGACCATCAGTTCAGGATTTGGAAGGCTCTTTAGAGACCCAAATGCTACGGTCGTGCTCTTAGAAGCGATCACAATGAAGGTGGAGTTTTCGCCACGACCAGAGAAGACGTTGGTCTTGCGGGAAACGGCTCCAGCCGGACAGACGGCAGAATCTGGGGAGGAGGAAGAAAAGGAGGAGGAAAGGAAGAGGAAAAGGGAGTGGAAGAGGACGAAGGAGGCGAAAATGTAGGAGATGAGGTAGAAGAGGAGGGCAAAAAGCAAGACGAGGAGGGAGAGACAGAAAAATACGAAGATACAAAGGAGGAGGAGAAAGACCAAGAAGAAAAGGAAGACGAGACAGAAAAAGAAATAGATGAGGATAGAGTGAACGAAAAAGAGGAGGACCATACACAAGAAGATGAGATGATGCCGGACGGGAAGGCAGAGAAGCTGGCCGTCAACTACGGCCGCCGGTTGGAGCCCGGGGGAGAAACTGGTGGTGGCCGTGGGTGGAATGACCTTGGCTGCTGGTGGCGTTGCTTTGTTTTGTTTTTGCTAATTTTGTCTTTGGGGAGAACCGCCGGTCAGAACAGAGACGCTGAAACTTTGATTGACTGAACAGAGGTGCTGAGAAGACGGGTCGGAAAGACATGTCGAGACAAAACACCGGCACTAGAGACGCTGATACGCCCGAGACTAGCCCTTGAGGGACACTGATATCAGGCAAACTCCGAAGCGACATTGCAAAATTAGAAGCAAAACAGCATCAAACAGATTGGTGGCCTGGGAGCTGACGGTTCCCAAAGACCGACAGAAGTCGGTCCCCGAAGACATAACTTCCAACAGGAATCCTAATGGAAAGTGCAACGACGCGAATCGTGCTGTCTGATCACCAAGGACACAGAGAGGTAAAAAACGTCCGAAGACCACGCCATCTGCAAAGCCGCCACTTGCAACAGGCAAAACGATGTTGCGTCACATTAACCGAAACCGAAGCGTTACGAGAGCAATACTCAGAAATGCACGCAAACCGCACATATCTCATGCCCTGCTGCGATATTAACATCGCCACATGAGAGTATCAGATAAATGTCTTAAAAAAATTGAAAGACATTTTTCGGACACATCGGACAGGCCAGACCGAGCATATTTTTTTCTTCAAAATCGTTACGAGTGTGAGTTCCGGAGGTTGTTTTCGGGACGGCTGCTCTGTCACATGTCAAGTGCGATGGCACGAGCAGCCAGTTTGTTGTCCGTCCACCCATCTTGTTAATCCCGAAAACGACTAAACACGTCAGCCTGACGCCACCCAATACCTGTGTGTTATTTTCTCCTTTCTCCGTACCTGCGTGCGGAAGTTGTTCCGCATCCTCCGGCGTTTCCTGGCACCGGGACAGAGCCAGCAGTCCCGACACCGTCCGCGGCGGTACAGGTAGGCCGTCCACAGCGCGGCGGCGGCCACCAGGAGAGGCACGCCGGCCGCCAGGAGGGCCCTGTAGAGGCGGACCTCGGACTGATGGCGGAGACGCCGCTCCGAGTCTGAGCCGGGGGCGGGGCGCCGACGCCGGTGTAGTGGTAGTGGAACACGCTGCCGTAGAGCGTCAGTGCCAGCCCGATGAGGGTGCAGATGGTGGCTGCCACCGCTGGAAGGGGAGGTGAAGACGTGGTTATAGTGGGCACTCTGGGGGAGCATGGTGAAATGGGAAAACAGGGAACACACTGCATGCCATGACACTTAATGAACAGAATGCTATGGAGAATGGGCAGAAACAAATACCATTTAACTTCATCTGTCAGCCCATCAATCATTAACTATTGCCTATTGGTCAGTTGCTGCATTGTTGGGCATGGCTTATACATCAAGCAAAAATATGTCTCCTGCTCAACCTGACCCATCTCAGGTCAACTGGACTCTTTCTAGGTTTTCTGTCCCCTCCAGGCCACCGTCCCAGACTGCTCGCAGGTCACCCAGGTTCTCCCAAAGATTGAACAGCCCCTTCATAACCTCTCATTTAGTCACCACACCTCATCCTCCAACCAGTTCACTTCATAGACCTGCCAGTGTGTCCATCACACAGCACACTCACCAATAGTCAATGTACAGCATCGCCGCCGGCCATGCCTGTCCTGACTGATGCTGTCCAGGTAACCACCACGCTCCGAGCCACCAGCTATGGTAGTCGGGTTGTACACCGTCTCTGGCTGCATGGTGACGTCACTGGCCACACAATGACATCACAAAATGATGATCACTGACCACCGACCTGGGGACAGAGTGTGAGAGTTATGGCATGACAGGGATGGTCTGTGGTTAGCGGGAGCAGAAGCAGGCAGGGCAACTAAGTCAGTGGGTCTGGGACCTGGGTCCCACCCACCAGAATGCAGACACATTTCTGGCTTTGACTGACAAGCTCTGCTCCAATCAAATTTGATGTCTCAATCTTGATGACCTCAAGCTACACTGGACTCTGGAGTCAAGCTAAAAGATTCTGAGACAACTTGCCAAAATTCTGATTTATTTACCACAAACGGCATGGCCGTTACTTCAAAACATATTTACAGATGTGAATGACAAACACAAAATTATAAAACCAAACCTGCAAATTTGAATTCGACAATTGATTTAAATTTGATAATTGATTGAACTTGATAAAAATTGATTGAAATTGATTGATTGAAATCAATTCCACGCATTGACATACCAATTATTTACCCAGTCCGAGTCCGTTGATTATTCCGTATCCACACGCTTGAATCGATTCAATGCCTCGGAATTGACTTCCTACCGTCTGTCAAAAACCGTCGGGCCCCAATGTGAATTGATTCATATTACGAATTGGGCAAATTGACTTGTTTCGACTTTTTTGACTTGTGAAAGCGCAAGTTGCGACATACATGCAGCGCCTGCGACAAAATGTGTATGAAAGGAATGCTGTTCGATTGCTAGTCTTAAAAGAAGCTGGGTCAAGCAGACTGTAGTTGCCTAGCAACACGCCAGATTAAGCAAGAGTTCCGACCAGTTGCCTAGCATTTTGCGGGAGATTTTCACATGGTTTTTCTGATAGAACAAAATCATTTTCGGCGATGGAGCATGTCAATGTGCGTTTGGGTCGGTGTTGCATTTTCGATTTTCCGTGTTGGTACAGAATTTTCAACTTAATTGAATGTACACAAACTTACTCAGATTCGTAGTAGTAGGCAATCGACCGGCAATTGCTTCCATTCTGTTGAGGCTGTTTGTTTGTAGATATAATTTTATATAGGCAATACAGATTCATTGATAAGTCAGGCCAAGGTCAAGGTTTGGAAAAAGACTTAGGAAGGAATTTGGTAAAATGATTTGCACATACAAATACACTTGCAATTGCTATTGCAATAGGGAGCTTGGAGAATGTGTAAGCAGATTTCTCATGCAATATGTTTGCTTACTTCAGATGGATCCTAACAAACGGCAAGGAAATGTCCAGAAGAGCAGTTTTTTGCTTACATTGACAGCTTGAATGATGTTGTTCTATTCTAAATAATATGATTTGTGTCTCCATTTCAGCCTTCAGGATAAATTCATCCATTGGTTCTGCTGTGGACATGGAGAGTGGAGCCGACAATAAACCTCAGCCGACTGATTCAACAGCTGGGGAGCCCCCTCGGCAAGACGCAGCTAATCCTAGCGCAGTGATGCTGGAATCAGTCAACAATGGGGCCTCAGGACCTGGTGGTATAGCCAAACCAACTGAGACTTCTGGTGGTGGGACTGCATCAGCTGCTATGAGTGGATCTGATCCGACTCTTGGCGTCACTGAGCGTAAGTCTGATAGGGGAACTGAGGCCACTCCTAGCCATAGGGCCGAGCCTTCCACCCTAGACTCTGAGTCTACAGACTGTGGTGCTACCAAGTCAACATCTGGTGATGGCTCAGATCCCGCGATTGGCGACAAGCCGGGCGGGTTTGAGCTGTGGCACGGTCGCCTGCGCTCAGCACGTCTCGTCGTCGCCCCAATGGTTGATCAGAGCGAGGCCGCCTGGCGTATGCTCAGCAGGAAGTACGGTGAGTGAGTGGCAATAATGTCAAAGTCTGTTCAGAGCTTTGGAACTCGATATTGCATGACTTCAGCCCCTTTTGTTCTTCTCTAATCGTGTTTCTACATAATATTCTGGCCCCCATCTGTGAAACCTGCCATCATATGTATTGTTTCGTTTTTATTCACGAAGCCGTGAAAATGACGATGCCCCCACCCCCTGTCCGCTCTCCTCAGGTGCCGAGCTGTGCTACACGCCCATGTACCACGTTAACATGTTTGTGAAGGACGTCAAGTACCGCCGGGAGTGTCTGACTACGTACCCCGAGGACCGGCCGCTCATCATACAGGTTAGACCGGGACCGGACAATGTAGGAAATGAGGCCCTTTGCTGGTCTCAGTCGGGTCCAAACGATTTGGCTCTCCTTTACAAATATATTCTCCAGCACCTAAAATCTCTTAAATTTCCAGCCTGTGTGATAATGGCCATTATTACGCCTAAAAGATGCAGTTATAGCATTGAGAGAACACAATTTATCAACTGTCACATATTTTAGTAGGCCAAACATGATTTTCCTGTTGAATGTACTAAAAGCTGGCTGATTCTCCGGACAAATTTTATTCTCCGGGACCAGGACCAAAATTCACAATTCCAACATTGGAACCGGACGTTGCGGCTCCGTCTTCTGTGGGACGGGATTATAGAACGCTTGAGCTAATATGGCAAAGGATGCAAGCCAGTTTGGGATGGTGATGACGATTTATGGTGGCATGGCGCATCGGCCACCACGCTTTGTGAACTGGATATATGTTAATCAAGGAAAATGTTTGGCCATTGATCAGTGATTTAGTCTCGACAAAATCACGCATCCAGAGAATATTATGCACGACAGCAGTCGATTGGAGCGAAGCAACAAGTCATCTGGTGGCCCATTACTGATAAACACTGCGAGTCTTTGGTATTATGGTTAGTTAGTACGTGGGATAGCTCATCCGTTTTTTTTTCAACAGTTTACTTTTAAAGACGTAATGATTCCCGACTGACGATAGAACCATCTCACCTTACAACTTATGACCATCAGTGATCACTGATCAGTGATGACTTTTGTTCCCCTTCCCTTACAGTTTTGTGCCAACAACCCTGCCACACTGCTGGAGGCGGCCCGGTACTGCGAGGGAGGCCAGTTTGACGCGCTGGATATCAACCTGGGCTGTCCGCAGTCGATCGCCCGGCGTGGACACTACGGCGCCTTCCTGCAGGATGAGTGGGAGCTTATCAGTCAACTCGGTGAGTTTGTTGGGGGCTCATCAGTCAACTGGGTGAGTTGGGGAGCTCGTTAACTTGGTACGAGTGATAATCAGTCATGCCGGTGTGCTAGGGAACTTCGGTCCGCTCGTTGAGTTAGGGGAGAAAACTGGGTGAACTAGGGGAGATCATCTGTCGACTCCGTGAGTTGGGAGAGAAAACTTTAGTGGATGATAAGTCATCGTGGTGATCAGGGTTAATCGTGGGGAATTGGGTGATCACTAGTCAATTCGGTGAGTTTTGAGAGCACCTCAGTCTACTAGGTCGTGTGTCTGTGTGTCTGCCAGCTTATCGCTTGACTTGCTTTATCGTCAAATCGAGGTACTTGGGACACGTTTCTGTCTGTTATTTTAGATGTTAATGAAGTGCGACTGTCTTGCCCATGATTTGTGCCATAAACATAGGTAGGTATCTGACATGCATTCCATTCTTGCCATGTGACCCGGTCCGACTGTTTCTGTTTCCAGTGAAAGTGGTTCACGAACAGTCCCGGCTGCCGGTCACCTGTAAGATCCGCATTTTCCCCGAACTGGAGAAGACTATCAGGTGAGTCCCTCCGACAGTCGCGCTAAGTAAAGCTAGTAGTTACGCTCTGCCAGTTGGTTCTATTCGATATATTTGCATTTGGCCAGCCGACTGCGGTACGTATCGTGGATCGGATTGTGCTGTCAGGTATGCTGTACCCTGGAATGTCTTGTGCTAGGTCATCTGGTAGGATGGCACCTTATAATTGTTTGACGACGTCACTACTACGGATACCCCGTAATATTGTGGTCCGCGATATGTACCCTATTTAGTGAGTAGTGACAAAACGGATATTACAGTGATGCTCTTACACGATAATGCGGTGTCATCAGCATCCGTTTTTATTTATTATATCATCTCTGATAGTATCTCGGTGTGTCCCGTGCTATTTTTCCATTAACTAAAACAGTGCCTTGACATATCCCGCTGTATTTCACCAGGTACGCCCGTATGCTGGAGTCTGCCGGGTGCCAGCTGCTGACCGTCCACGGCCGGACTCGGGAGATGAAGGGACCGCTGACGGGACTGGCCGACTGGGACGCCATCAAGGCTGTCAGGTGAGTGCCTGGGGCGCCATTAAAACAGTTAGGTGAGATGGTACTTGGATGGCTTACTCAATTGCTCATGCTCATACACATACCCTGATCATACGAACTCGCTTTTGAATGAACCGTCGTACTCTTTTCTTTTCCGTCTTATTTGAATGAATCGTCTGTGATGCTCGGTACTCTAATCCACCGACCAACAACTGACTGTGCGATGTTCATATATGGTGTTGCAGACTGCAGTATGATGCATCGTATTTGTATTTACGTCAGCAGACACTCTACAACAGGGTGGCTATTACGTGTCAATATGACCTTCCTTGGTGTGCACTGTGCACTTAAAAATGCATTTCCCACCCTATGGTCCAGTTACGCTTATTCTGACCACCCAACCCCATAAGTGTACGATGTTTTTGTTTGCATACTCTAACCTATTCTGGCATTTAACCCTGACAATAACCCTTCTCTCCCAACAGAGAAGCAGTCAGCATCCCCGTGTTCGCCAACGGTAACATCCAGTACCTCTCTGACGTACACCGCTGCCTCGAACATACAGGCGTCCAGGGGGTGATGACTGCCGAAGGAAACCTCCATAACCCAGCTCTGTTCGCCGGGCTTCATCCACCTGTGTGGGAGGTGGCTGAGGAGTATCTCCAGCTGGCCAGACGGTACCCGTGTCCTCTCAGCTATGCGAGGGGACATGTGTTTAAGATACTGCACTACTGGTGAGGAGGATGGGGCGATGGGAGAGGATTGGGGAGGGGAGTGGCTTCGAAAGAGTGGGGAAGTAGGAGAAATTAAAAATAAATTTGGAAATATTTTGCTATTGCACATTCACCCGGGTACTCATTTTTGTGTTTTGTGTTCAAAAACTGACCGGTGGGTGCACTTTACTCTCTTTAGACCGAGTGTTTCTTGATGTATTCCGTTACGTTTGTTACCAGTTGGGATTGTTTTGTTTTCCCTTCTCTGTTCCACGAATTTTGATCCCACCAGTTTGGCATATGTTATGCTTGTCATTGATAACCGTTTAATAGATCTCAGGCAGCTTTTACCAAATTATCAGGGAACTCAGATTTGTTTTTCAATAGAAAACACAATTCTAAAGAATAGTGTTTTAACTATTGACAACAAACCTTCGGTTACTTTTAAAACTACCGTGCACGTTAAGTCGTGCTCCATCACCAATCGTTCGCTCTTTTTGATCGATGTCTGTCTGCCGTGTTCTCTAATCACCTTACCCCCTCCCCCAGCCTCCTGATGCCGTCCAACCACGACGTGCGTCAGCTGACCGCGCGCGCCTCTCGTCTGGAGCAGCTGGAAGAGGCCGTCGAACTGCTCAGACAGAGGTACAGTCACCTCACAGAGCCCGGCGCGGCCGAGTGGCGGCCGGCGCCCGACGATCCGCCCGTGCTGACCCGCCTGCCGCTGTCGCCGCTGTTCTGTCAGCCGCACGAGAGGGAGCCCATTGAGGACCACCTGAAGAAAATGCAGGTACGGCCTGGGACTTCGTTGGAGAGTGGAAAGAGTAGAATGGCGGCTTGTGCTTGACGGGTTATATGAAAGTTTGTGGTTGAATTTAGTCGAATTACGAAGATGTTTCGTGTTTGTAACTCCAGCTGCTAATGAGGCTTAAGCTTTTGGCAGGGATGCGGAGCCGTGGAAATTTGAGACAGCTTCGGCTCCGGCTCCGGCTTCGGAGAAATAAAATCGGCTCCGGCTCCGGCTCTGGCTCCGGGTGAAATGTCATGGCGGCTCCGTCTCCGGCTCCGACTCCGGGCAAAATGTGCCGGCTCCGGCTCCGGCTCCGCACGCCTGGCTTTTGGCCATTTGCTCAATGATACGGTTTATTTTCTTGTTTGTTTTATTGCTGTGTATCGTTTTCGCTTTATCGATAGATTTATCAGCCTCCGTTAATATTGGATTAGACGTTTTACTGAAAAATGCTCTATACGTCCACCGTCTGCCCCGCGCTATTGATTTGCAGTCTCGTTTGGTTCTGTGTATAGACTTTACCAGGCCTTTTCGGTTCTGTTCTCTACCATCAGGCTAATGCCGACAAACAGCGTCGTGAGCAGCAGGAGCAGAAAGAGCGGAAAGAGCAGCGGGAGGAGGAGGGTGACGACACCCCGGCCCGACCACCGGCGCGCGCGCAGGACCCCAGCGCGCTCAGCAAGCGCAAACTGAAGAAATTGGCGCGAGGGGCCAAAGTTGGCGCCAACCGCGCCATCATGGAGCGGTGTAGTCTGTGCTGCAACCCACGGGTAGGTGTGAGAGGGGGTGAGTGGGGAGAAGGAAGGCTGTGGGATAGACGTGTTTGTTGTGGGAGCCAGTTTGGATGTTCGATTTACCTGCTTGACGTTTAGAGATTGATCGATTTTTAGCTTAGCTGCGCTGCAGAGGTTGACGTTAGTCGAAACTTGCTAATGGTAGTCTTAATTATTTTTTCTTCGTTACCCCACCATTGGCGCTATATGACCCTCTTTTCCCATAGTTGATAGTTGATATCGCATGAGACTTCGTTATCCCCTTAACGACCTCATGCTATATTTGGTTATCCGTCATCGACATAAATGTGACTCTTCTTCATCCATTTAGTGGTTATGCTGCCCTTTATTTCCCCGTCAAAGGCCCCGTGTGATCTTCCTTTCCCTGATAGGAGACTCCATAGATGTTTCGCTTCTCACTTAGTGACCGCTCTCCTCCTTACATCCCCAGGGTCTTCGCTGCGAGTTTCTGCTCTGCCGCCTCCACTGTCGGGACAAATGTTACGAACATAACCTGGACTGTCCCGGTCACCGGATTCTGGTCAAGACCAAGCGACAGAACGCCAGGGATTGGCATGATCGGCAGAGAAGGCTGAAGGAGGTTGAAGAAGATGGGGAGAGTGCAGGTGGGAAAGAGGGTGTGGGGAATGGGATGGGTACTTCAAATGGAGAGGAGGTTGGGAAGATGGAAGTGCCCAATGGAGAGAAAGCTGTGGAGGTAGACTCATCCAAAAGAGGGGAGGTAGTTAAAATGGACTCGTCCAAAGGAGGGGAGGAAGTGGAAATGGACTCGACTAACGGGGTTGGGTCGACTGGTTCTGGTGAAACAGCTGTAAACTCCGCCGCCCCCGCCGCAGTCAGCTGATAGGTGACGATAGGTGACCTAACTGGTGACCTTGATTGGTGACCTTGGTTGGTGACGGCCATGTTGACCTCAACTGGTGACCTCTGGAGATCGAGTACCTTGTATCGGGTCTGGAATCGGTCACATTGTTGGATGGGAGGAGAGGCAGCAGCTGATGTGTTTTGAAGCCTGTGGTGGGTGTCACATATTGATATGCAATCAGTCTGAAGTTCAAGTGTGCAGATGTTCCGGTTAGGGAATGCTTGACTGAAGGTGAACTTTGGTTTTGACGTTGACTGACATTGTCTAAAGCTAAGTTTTAGCATTCAGTGCTCAGTGGGACGGAGGCTAAAAAAAAATCCGCGATCAATGACTCAGGGTTATGGGTAGGAAGTGCGGTTTAGGATGAGCTGAGTCAGTCTTGTGAATCTGAGACTGTCGTGAGTCCGAGTTTGTCGAGAGGACCTAATCAATCCAAACTGAGTCAGTTGGCGCCTGAGTCTGGCTATGATTGTTGGTGTGGGCTGAACATGTGACTCTGAGACGATGGGAAGGGACGTTTGCCTGAATTCAGTCAATATGGGTGCGAAACGCGAGTGTTTTCGAGTCTTGTTGGATGTCTTGTTTTCCGAGGTGTAGTGCGTTTGTCTAGGAGTGGGTCTGATTCTGAATGATCAGATATGATCTGAGTCTCCGTCAGTCGTGAGGATGGATGTGTTAGAGTGAGAGACGGGTCCTCACCGCCGTGGGTTTCATCACTCGCTGTTACGTGCCGTTTGCTCAGTATTGTTCTGCTCAGAAAATGAATACGGCCCGCGCCAGTGTTGTGACTTTTGGCTCTGCAATGATGGTTCTGCTGTTTTGTTTTTAAGCGATCTTTTTTATTGAACAGACAATAAAAATGTGATTATGAATTGATATCGACTGGTAAGCCTTGTCCGTCAGCATTTTGCCACATCTAGCTCACTGCGTTCCATACAGAGTCTGTTTAGTCTATGTATTTTGATAGCCTATTCCAGTCCTCCCCTTCCAAAGCTCATCCCCCGTCTCCCTACCCCCGTCTCCTTTCCCCTGTCCATCTCTTGCTTCATAGTTCTTCCCAGCAGACTCCACTGGGGGCAGTCCTGTATTCAAAGGCAGCTGACAACCCGTAGCATCGATACAACCGACATAGACCTCCCATACCCGGGTCAGTTTTCACCTAGGCTCCCGACAGGCTGATGGAAATACTGTAGAGCAGCACCGACTGAACACTGGGTGGCTATGGGTCTGTTCCAGTCGCGCTTCCTAACACCTCTAAACTCCTCCAAGAGCAAGATAGAGGAGGTTGGAACAGGGCCCTCCTTGGCTTTGTAGGGGCTAGAGCTGCCACTGGAACAGGAAAGTAATCTAGGAGGAGTTTAGAGGTGGAAGTGCGACTGGAACAGACACATTGTTAGTACATGGAGCCAGTGACAAGGAAAGGGGGAAGGGGGAACAGGTTAGTTGGTCCGTGAGCAGTGGACGGTGACGGGGCGATCTCCGATGATCTACCGATCAATCTATGACAGCATGATCTTATGGTTTACACACCGAACGGTTATCAGATACATGACATCAAAGAGTGGTGGTACAGTGATCTAGACAGCCCGTATAGTTGTACATACAGCGACACTGCTTAGGCGAACGGCAGGGCAGTGTTAGCCCAGTGATTGTCTCACATACAAGTATAGCACAGACGCGATGTGCGTTTTTATATGAATACACAGGTCCCGTGACTAGTATCGACACCACAGATATGTACATCTGCAAAGCTCGTTCTGACTTCTTTGTGGGCCTCGATGAAAAGGCCAACTGTCCTTCCCTGGCCACCATTCAAGTCACGTTCACACCCAGACACTGCCCTCAGTTCTGTCCCGTTTACATCACACTTCGTCGTCACTCTCGCTTAGCTCTTCCAGTTTAGCCATACCCACATCGGTCACCGGGCTATCACTCGATAGTTCTGAATCGTTCACATCAGCTTCGGTCGGTACCGAAGCCTGACGTCATGTCCTTACACTTCCCAACGCTGAACTACCATCACTGAACCATACTTTAGACGGTCGCCCTTCGGTGGAGGGTGCCTCTACACTAGCGCCGCTACCGGCCAGCGGCACAACTAACGCTTCACTTCCCGCCGCTAGGTGTCCTCTTCTGCGCGCCCGCACTTTCTGCATGTAATCCGCCACTGCGTTTTGCGCTGACAGTGGCCTCGTCTCATCCCGAACACGATCACCGCAATCCTCAGTATCTGACGCACACTCAACGCGGCGCACTTGCGTCACTTCTACAAAAGTGACGCGTTTAGCTTTCCGAGGTTCCTCGGGAACCGGTGAGGGTTGCCGTCGTCTCATCCCCGCCCCCATTCCCCCCACAGTGCGAGTGATGTGTGGTGAGCCAATCGGCGCAGGCGCTGGCGTGGGCTCGAACTGCGTCACCGGTGTTACACGGAATCGACCCTCGTCGGTTGACGGAGCGCCCAAATCCACAGTGAGGTCAAGCTCTCGTGGTCGCGAAGTTCGAGTGGCTGGTACTGGAGCACTGTAAGGTCTCTGAGAAGCCACTGTAACTATGTTGGCCATTAGAAGCGAAGGTTTAGCCTCGGTGGGCGATTCTTCCTTCTTTTCCGCTTCTGGTTCTGATGAGACGTCATTTTTAGGGGAGGTAGCCTCCGGTGAGCGGTCCTTTTTGCTTTCCGGTTGTGCAGGAGAATCGGCTTTCGTCGCTGGCTGTTTGAGCCACTGTGAGCCATTGGTCACAGCCGGTCTCACGTTCCCATTAGCAACTGGTGTTATAGCTTCAACCTTAGCACAAGTACGCACGGCAGCCGCACTACCACCTTCTTCAGTACCCTCACTATCAGAGTCGGGTAGCTGAGTGCGCGTATCGTTATACTTCTGTAGCGTGTCTAGCGTGTCCTTCAACCCAGAGGCCGTCCGTAGAGGCGGCAGGGCCGGTAGGGATCCCTCCGCTCTTGCCAGAGGTACTGACCCTGATACCGTCACCACACACTCAGCCGGGTGAGGTCCACTGACGCCGTTTTGTTTCTCGGAGTGACCGATAGGCGGCGCGGGTGGCGCTCGACCCGGACGAACTCTACGCCGTCGGGTGAGGTCTGTAGGAGCACAGCAGCCCCGGTGGCGCCACCTGCGATTGCTCTCTGCAGAAGGTGGGGCTGACTTGTGGGAAGAGTCAAGCTGGCGGATGTATTCGTATGTGGTAGCACCGCGAGCGGCTAGAAATGCGTGGAAGATAAGGAGATGAATCAGCAACACCGCAGCCACCAGAGCTAGAGTACCGAACAGACCTGCTCCTGCGGCGAAGAGCGCCTTCTCAACGGGTACACCAAACATGGCCAAGTGTGCGCCAGTCACCAAAGGTGAACCAGCTACTCCATTGTCACCATCGCCGTTACCACCGTCACCACTGTCACCAGGGGGCGGTGATTTCAGCAGAGACTCAGCGGCTCCAGTCTGAGAGAGCTGGGTGGTGTTGGCTACAGGTGTTGGTGCTTGCGTATCATTTCTCATCACCACTGTCTGTCCACTGGAGGTGAAACAAAGCGCTAGCGCTGCGGCGGCGAGGGTTAGCACTAGCAGCGATAGAGCAGCTGCACTTGCCACACACACTAAAAACCAGACGTAGTTTCTTCTCCCCACGCAGTGGTTCAGCCACTTGCAGTGATGATCGAACCGATCAACACACTTGTTACAAGCGGCACAGTGTTTGGTTCGCGATGAGGTGATGGTTACATTACAAAGATGACACCGACCGTTTTCAATCACATGCGCGTGTTGCTGTCGATCGAACTCGGGCACCGCGTGGCGCCCGGGACGAGAACGGAGTTCACCATCCGCGGGATCCACCAGAGTGGCTGCTGCGTGGCTGATGGCATGTACCAGCAGAAGAACTACACCCAGTAGGGCGGCGGGTATTTGTAGCGGAGCAGTCAGCGCTGGGACCAGCACACCAGCTGTGAAGGCAGCAGCGGCCAGGAGAAGTATCCATCCAGCTAGCTGTTGTCCGTGGAGCGGAGCTTGAAGACCGTGCTGTCGACGCCAGCGTCGGTATTCTGGAGCTAGCTGTTGACCGGGAGGAGGACCGCACGGACATCCTGTAGCCTCTGTTCTCCCAACCTCTGTCCTGGACTCCTCTGCTCTCTCTGACTCTGACTCCACCGCTTCAGGGCCCGCTGAAGGGGACATGACAGCCAATAGGCTAACAGCCGACCCGCTGACAGTTTATTGAATTCTTCCACTGTAGCGCGATCGATGTGACCATCTATGCGAGTCCAATCGGTCGGAATATTCGTCGTTAACCGGACTGGCCATTGGTGATGGAGCCAGGTGCTGATATGAGTCGATAGCAACGGGTCGCTCATATATGGACGGTTGGTAGGTTATTCATAGATGGCTGGTAGATGGACGGATTTCCGTTACATGTTTTTATGAGACCGAGGGTCAGAAACTCGTGGGCTGTCGCCGAAGTGTCGTTTGCTTGACCAGCTTGCCCAGATCAGCGGAACTCACTCATTACTGCTCTTCCTTTACTTCACATGTTCTCAATTGGCCAGATCTGCAGTTTTGAGGGTCGCATAGGTCTCTTGAAGACAACAGACGGTGCTTTGGTCGCTGAAGTGATGCTGAGAAACGATTTTTCCCTCTTCGATACCTGTGAAAACAAGAACAAAACAGCATCAGACACCCGAGGACGATTTTTGGAGAAGCTATTATGAAACTGGGAACCGTCTTCCGTCCTAATTCGTGTTATCCGTCTTTTCCAAGTGACATAAGACGTGGTGAACGAGACGAAGTGAATCAAGCACAAGTTACTGTCTCAGGACAACCAGTGACCTCAAACGTCATATCAATGCTAGGAAGTGTCTGGTTTGGGATTTCGGCATATCATTTCGGCTGAATGGCCTCAGAGCATTAGCATTTTGTACCATATCGTTTGGTGGCAACTTGAGCCGTATAATATGGACCTTTTAATCCTAATTTTATGCTGAACAAAGGTCGAAGTGAGGTCCACGGTCCGGTGAGATCAGGTCAGGTCAGGACAATGCATCGGCCAAATCGGTATTTCATATAATAAAAATTGTCAGCTTAACACGATATACGAGAGCTTTACTGATCACCTACTTACGAGATAGTTAATTATTAGAATTATTATTTCGATCTTCTCACACCTACCTATCAGCGATTTGGCTCTGCAGCTTCTTAGAAATCCCTACACCCAGACTAGCGACGTGGAGTACGACGCTTGTGTAGTCAGTAGTAGTGACTTATGCAATATGCATGTGACCATTGTTAGCGTGCATTATTGTTAGCGTGAACGTCCCTTTGTCCCCAATGGGTACATTTCTTCCTAACCGGTCCATTATCTCCCAGTCGTGACTGTCGTGTTCTGTGAGTATTCGCTCACTGACACTGACAGCAGGTCAATAGCCAATCAGAGGCTGTCAAGAGCTTTTCGTCGCGAGCGCTCAAGAAGCCAATGGCTGACACGCCAACAGGCTACGGATAAATGGCAGGAGAGCGGCGATCTGAGTGAAAACTTCAAAACTGAGCCATGGCTGTTCGGTTGGCTTGCGGACTAAAGCGCTGTGACGTCGGGTGACTATATATATAGCAAAAAATATACTATATAGCAAATAGCTTCTCTGATTATATCATTCAAATCGTATATGAAATATTCTAAGCCCAGATTCGAATCTGAGAGCGATTGATGTTAGTTAACGGTAATTTGGACGGTCACTCAGCACTGCAGCTAATATCGACCTGTAGTGTCGCGGAGGCGCGGATAGAGAGAGACGACTGAGCGGGCCGAGACTTGTATTGCAACTGTGGTTCTGATTCTGATTGGGGTTCGCCAGTGCCTGTGCGTTATATGCAAGG